CAGTCCGTTCTATGCGTCACCTACTCGTTTCTCTATCGATGCATTTTTATGTATTTTGCAATTTTTATGCATTTCGCAATTTTTATGTATTCTGCAGTTTTCATTCATTTTGTAATTTTCGTGCAATTTGCCCAGCCAATTGAAAACTCGATGAAATTATTGAAACTTCTGTGTCTCAAGAAATTCGAAACATTCGAACACCGAGGAGAACGATACCCGCCAAGAATGGTTACCACGCGTTCACGCGATGTCGTTCCCGTAATTGGCGTCTCGTATTTCTCTCCGATCCGGCGTGTCCGCGCGGCGGAACGCGGGAATAATTGTAGGCGATTCGCGCGCGACCGGTGCCGGTTATTCCAGCGAGCATTTCGTAAGATCCTTTATTCTTCGCCGAACCATTATTGTCGTTGGAAGTGTCTTTTACCGGGGACACATCTAGCCGGAAGATGAAACGCACTCGATGCACTCGAAATGTGCATTATCGGTGTGCTAAATTCCGACAAGTGTCTCTTTGTCATCCGACCGCCAGTGCCAGCGCCAGTATCAGAAATGTTTTATTACTGGCGTCCCGGTTTTCCCGGTCGTATTTAGAGAGGCTACACGGCCATCCACCCGATGCCACGTTTCTCCCCGATTTTCCCTCGGAAAAGCTCAGTCGACGAGTCACTGGCGGCGCAGATGTTCCTTTTTTCCTTTTTTCTTTTTTTTTGTATTTTTGTGCGTCGAGCTTCGACGATACACAGAGCCACGTTCCGTTCTCCTTTTTTTTCGGGATTCGATCCGGTCCCCGATGCTTTTGCAGCTCGTGAAACGCGCGGAATGTTGTGCATGGGTCGTCGGTGGCAATCAGAGAACCGGATTCTGTCACCCCCGCTGATTTCCACGAATGGACGACACACGGAAGTCGAACGCAGACACGACAAGTCCATTCGTGATTTCTTGCTAACGATCTTTAGCCTTGAGAACGGCGACGGATCTTTTTATCTATTTCAGCGGCATTTCAAAGCGTTCGATACCATAAATTCGTATCAATGTATCTACGCGATTTTTGAATCTCCGATTTATTGCTCTTAATCTCGATTGCCTTACGATTTATTCGCAGAGAAATGCGCGTGCGCAGACAATTCGATTTAGGACAGCTCTATGCGAGGCGTTGTTACGAAATAAAGCTAAAATATTTCTGTTTTTGTTTTATAGATTTACGTGAACGTGGACATTACATTTCAGTTGTAATAGAACACGCGAGCGGCCTGGGTTTCTGTTCTCGATAATAAATCGTTCATTTTTAAAACGTCACCGTGCGTTTCAAAGATATGATCGCTTGAAACTCGCATTGTTCGCGGGAGGTTAACGTGCAACGATCGTGTTGAATTAATTACGCAATTTAAGGGAACACCTCAAAGAAGCGACTCGTTCTATTGATTAATAAACTTAACACCGACTCCGACTCTCACAGAAAGTTTCCGCGCGTACTTCTTAAAGTGAACTTCATTTTGCGAATGTTCGAAAAATATGGAAGGTACGAATAGAATAATCGAAGTATTAACCATTTGTACTCGAATGGTGACTCTGAGACACCGCTAAAATTTGTTATATCACGCTTTAAGATAACTTTTATATTGAAAAAGTTTAGATTTAAAAAATTGTTAAAAGTGTAACCGTTGTGCGAGTCCCAAGTGCCTAAAATGCATTTTGTTATATAAAATAGAAATACTGTAAGTTAGAAAAATGATTTTATATTTAGAGTTAAAACAGCTTCGAGTGCAAAGGGTTAAGAATATCGAAGAATATGCGGAGAAATAAAAATTGCTCGATGTACATAATTCCTTCGAGAAATCTCTAAAATTAATAAGGTGACGTATTGCATACTCGTGGGAGAAAAGCTGAAACCATCTCGAAAATCTAATATATTTCACCAACGCCTTCCGTACGGGTCGGAAATCAGCGACTCGTTTCGAGAATCGATGAATTGCGTTTGCTGGCACGCGAATCACACCGTTCCGCCGATTTGTCCTGTTCAATTTGATCGGGGCTTCATTACGGTCGCGCACAACGCCATCCTCGTTTAGTCTTCTTCAATCGCGCGAATTCGGCACGCGAGCCTCTCGTACGCAGCTCGTAAAAGTCAAAATTTATTTTGATTCGCAATTATTCGTGTCAATTATTATCGAGAACGGCGGCGTCATTTCCTGGTACTTTGAGTATATTTTGAGTACAGTTCGTGTACCAAATTTTGCGTGACCCACAAGTAGTGCGTTCTCTAAATCGTTTCAATGTATATTATTCTTACTCGTAACAGCTAGAAAATATAATACTAGCTATAATAATTTAACATAACAATATATGTTATTATATTATATAATAATAATATATTGCATTGTCTAATAAAATATAATAATAGCCAGATCTTTGTAAATATTTTTCCAGGAAACTTTCGACAATATGGAAATAAACTTTCTTGGAGTGTATCGATATGAACGCCCTTAGACTACAAGAAAATGTTTTTTTCAAGACCATTCGTTTATTTATTCGCTGGACAACGAACGAACATGTTAGCCTGATCGACGTGTAAGTTAGACTTCTCCGAATTAAATAGTGCACACCAGGTTTGGACGAACTGCTTACAATAAAAAAGTAGTATAATATTGTTAGTATAGCAAAATATATCAAATATTATGACAAGGGGTCCATTATCTTCCTCTTCTATCATATTAGCGAGAACAAAAATCGAATCTAATCAGCACTCCTGTGAATTAAATCCTGAGGGTTAAACAAGGAATTTGCAAAGTTAACTATTTATCTATTCAACTATCTACGATTTAGCCAATATAATGATTCCGTACGATTCTGCGAATCCGACGCAATCCGCATCTTATTTGCGGAGCGTCGCTGCATAAGGAACCGCAGTGCAATGTGTTGCGTCCAGAGACAAGGGCCATAAAAAGGTCCCACCATTGGGGAAACCCTCTCAGGCCCCAACAAGGGTCAAGGCAGACACCCCCCTCCAAGGGGTGATTCGTGCCTTGACCAATAATAAACAATCTACCTCCATCCACGGGTGCTCTTCCACGACTTTCCAGCGTTGGAAGAGCATTCTTCCACCAGCGCTCGCAGAGGGTGCAACACAAAAAATAAAGTTCTCTAAGACTACTAGAGACCCTTCCACGTCATTAATTTGCCGTAGGAAGCGCGAATCGAGCGTACAATAGTTCGGTCGCGCATGTACGTTAGGCGACTAACCGAACGTACGGACAAAACACAATGATCGCAATTCGTCGGTGTCGATGGACGACGCGCTGGGATCAAATCATGGGCGCATCGAATGACACCAGTGTCGAGGACCGCCGGGCACACACGGTCGACCGATTGATCGTCATTCGCTACATTAATTGATAGATTTCAGGCTGGTTGGCGCGGTACTGCGGTCTTCAATTATATGCGCGAGAAAGTGTAAATATTCGTGGACAACGAGCTGCGGTTTCGCGGCCGCGCGTGAACGATCGGCGAGCCCACAGAATCCCCATGAAAGAACGGGACCTCGTGCCCCGTTCGCTTCCGAACAACGAAGATCGCTAATTCAGAGTAATCACTGTGCAGCAGCGCGAACGTCGCTTTATTAGCGGCAGATCGCGCTCGTAATTCCACCCCAGAGAGTCGAAAACGAATGGCTCGTTACGGGACAATTATGGCGCGAACGCGTGGCATCCTTTAATGCCCGCTGTTTGGCGCTGCTCCAGTCTCCGCGTTGTAAGTTCGCACGTGGCTTTGCGTAACGTTCGATTTGCGCTTACGTTCCGCCGTTGAATGGTCCCGTTTCTAATATTTTGCTGCAGACCTTTGCACTGTTCATTATTTTTATGTAACAGAAGTTAGTTGGACATTACCGTTCGAGCGACGCTTCGGGCTGGTGCGTCCACATTCGACGCACAGAAAATTAAATGAAATTAAAGGAACACTAAATAATGACGGAACAATTGTTGATCTTTCAATTTGTAGTTCAATTACCAGCGAATCGCATTTGTGACGAAGCTTAATAGAACAAATGTAAAACACGTTGTAAACACGTTGAAACAATTTTAAAAATATTATTGCATTGCTGACGACCCATTCAAACAATTGCAGAAAGAAACGAATGTCCACCGCAGTTCCGGCATCTTGCAGTTAACGAAGATAACATTAACTTTGTATAAATATCCACGACTTGGCTAACAAAATGGCGGACAGCTAATGGTTAAATAACTAAATCGAGCGTTACACGAATATTTAAAAAAAAAAGTACCAATTAATTCGCGGCTATATCTGTGTCGGACAAACTGGCCGTCGGTATTGTCGAGAAATTCTTCTCGCCTCGACCTGCAATCTGCACAATGGTTCTCTATGAAGAAGCGTAGTTTACGGACAAGGATAGATTGCCAGAACTTATCGAAAATTGCTTCTGTTTCACCGGGGAGGATCCGCGGAATGAAGTTCCGCTCCTCGTGCAGAAGAGCTTCCCCCTGGCGCCTCCGGGGAGAGGGGGACAAGCCGAGCGCATTTATCCTCGACGCATTACCGTTTCACACGTTTGATGCTCCGCGTGTCCTCGATAACGCCGCGCCAGATAAAAAATGGTGATCACGGTTGGCATATCACGTTTCCCTTCATACAGGAACATTCATTCGGTAGAAGAAAGAAAGCGCGATCGCGCGAAGTCGGTCGTTACCCCCGATGCCCTGCTCGATATCAAAGGGGTGCAGCGTTCTGATAGCGCTCGTCTGCCGCGCGCGCGTGTGCGGCAAGAAATCGAAGGGTGAAGACCGGCGACGAGAAGAAGTCCCGAAGTTCTTGCGCCGTGAAGTAGGCTATTAGAACCGCTGCAAGAAGGCGTTAGTCGTTTAAATGGTGTCCACGTAAAGTCCTCCATCGCATATAGCTAAGACCGTTGAGGAGATTTAAAATCGGAAACTCAACCACCTATATCTACCCGATGCAACGTACCAACAACGTTAGAGCATCTACTTCTATTCTATCCTATTCAATTTAATCAAATACATGCAGGAGTCAAAATTGTCTGCTTGGATAGCATAATAGATCATATGGACCCGTGGAATTGTACATGTTTTAGAAGAACCTAGAACGTCCGATATCAAACACTTAATTTTGAGCTTTGAGCTTTGAGCTTTCAAGCTTCGAGCTTCATGAGCATTGAGCTTGCGAGTCTTGAGCTTTCGAGCTTTTTGAGCACTTAGCTTGTGAGTTCTGAGCTTTCGAGCTTTTTGAGCGTTGAGCTTATGAATCCTGAGCTTTTTGAGCTTTCGAGCTTTTTGAGCATTGCGCTCATGAAACTTGAGCTTTTGACCTTCGAACTTTCTGAGCATTGCGCTTATGAAACTTGAGCTTTGAGCTTTCGAGCTTTTTGAACATTGCGCTTTATAAATCTTGAGCTTTGAACTTTCGAGCTTTTTGAGCTTTCGAGCTAAAAACATAATATTCGAGCTAGACATGTGGAATATTTACAATCGTGGTTTTATACATACATAGATATGAACACCATTTAAAACGGAATAACTTTCCTAAAATTGGTTGAGCTGGTGAAAGGGCTAATTTGCTCGACAAATATTCTCCTAATCGTCCAGTGAATTTTCCATCGTACCAGAAAAATTAAAATCGTCTGGCCCAATGTTAAGAGAGTTATTCCATTTTAAAGGAACGTTTAGGATAACTGCACACCGGCGTCTTCGCGCGAAATAAAGAAACGTTGCGCGAGAAACAGAAGTCAGAAATTGATTCCATCATTTGATCATTTTGAATGTATCACGAGCAATATCGTGATATTTCTCGATTATTTTCGAAATGCGCGAGGTCCGCGTTCCAGCGACGAAAAATATGGAAAATATGCTGGAATGAAATATGGAGAAAATGAATTCACGCCATTGTCCACTTTGCTAATTACAAAATAGAAGTACCAGGAGCGCGAATGAGGATTTATCGCTAAAAAAATGAACGAATCTACGGTGACAACGATTTCTATCGTCGCACCAAGAATTCTATGGAAGCCGTGTTAAAAATTTAGAACATTAAATTACAAAGAAGAGTACAAATTATGCAATAATAAAATGACGAATGTGTCGAATGAGACCTTTCAAAACCGAGCCTGTAGGCTCGCTAATCGAGAAAGATGAATGAAAAATACCAAAGCGCGATTTATGTTTCCCTGCACGCTACGATATAGCTCCGGAAGTGTTTTTTGTTGTTGTTGTTGTTACGAACCTGGTTATTTTGTTTAATATTATTATTTTTTTTCGTTAAACGTTCAAATGCGACGATTAATTCCGAAATAGACACGTGTGCACGCATATATGGTGGATGCACGACGCGATTGCATTTAATTCAACAGATTTACAACGCTGTGAAAATATACTTTACGTTAAGACCGATAATAGATAGACAGTTTTCAATTTCCCTTTGTGCATGATATTCGAGAAAATGTTCTACTACAAAGGAGCCGTTATTGAGAAGGAAATCCCGCGTCTCAAAGGATTAAATAAATTCTACTGAACTTTAGAAGCACTTATCTCCTTACGTGCTCTACTTATCTGCCTATTGCTCTTCCCAGGAAATGGTATAGACGAAGGGAATACGTTTTAATAATTAATCGGGATAATAATAGTTATGAATAATATTCGTGCTCCTCGGCGACTCCTCGACGTAAAATCGATGTTTCCAACGTATTCGTGTTCTAGCACGATATATTTTTAACTCAATAAATTAGTAAGATTTTTACTTCATCTTCCGCGACATCGGTAAGATCGATTTTAGATTCGTCATACTCAAGTTTAATTTATTATAATTTCATTACTGGTTGAATTAGCCTTCCTCGGGGTGTAAATTCGTTCGTTTTCTTTTTTTGGAAACTACAAAAAGTTGAGTATCTTTCTGTTCGCATGAAATCATTCACAAAGTGTTCAAACTGTAACGTACGTCACTGAATCATGACTCTGGAACGTCGATAATCACAAAAATATAGATCACATCGAATTAATAATTATTGAAAAGTCTGCAATTGACTCTCAATTCCTTTTCGATGCATGGAAACCGCAAGCGAACGAAGAATGTTTCGTAGAATGATTAAAAGAGAACAGAAAATATTGCTTTACAAGTGAACAAATGAAAGAAAGAACTCGAAAGGCAAACTGCTAGGCCTAAATTGCGGAATCAGCTTTTCGTCAGGTTTTCGGGCTAAATAGTGCGCTATGCGACGTCCAAGTTACGCTTGTTTCCTCATCCCCCCCCCCCTCTCTCTATCTCTCTGAAACCTGCCAGCATTTCGTGCCACTCGAGTCTCTCATATCCTGCCCTTTCAACCCCTGTCCTGTTCTATAACTCTATTCCTCGTTGTGTTCCCAACGGGTCGATTTTCTCGTAACCATTAAGCCACCGACCTTAAATAATCCACCATTAAGTCAGCGTTCACGAGCTAACAATTTTGAGATTGAGCCAGCAACGCATATCTCAGAGATGCACCAATCTGAAAGGATCATCCTCTGAGCGTCGAGATAGCCGAAACCTTGCCGTTAATTGAACAATCCGGCAAACGCCGGGTAAATACCGGCCGCGCCACGGATTCCACACACGGGCGCAACAAAGTAGATCTTTGAGTTTAGGTCAACGAGTAAATTGGATCTTGTCCTGCACGCGCTTCATCGGTTCTCCTTTTATCACGAACTCCACCTAATTACTAGATCGAATTACACGTTTGTGTTAAGTTACCGAACCGTCGGGAAAGGCTCGTGAAACGACCTCCTTGCGTATCTTTTCGTGACGTATTTATTTAAATTGACAGTAGATCGACGTGTCGAGCACAAAGGTATCGCGATATCAAAGTCGTTTTAATCAATGAAATCGAAACTAAAAAGGTTAAATTTGCCATAAGAGACATCAGTTTAACTCTTTTGTATTCCAAAAATTCTAAAATCCAATTCAGTTCTTTCGATATATTAAATAAAAATGAATTTCAAGACTCGGTTAAAAATTTATATTGAACGTACAAAGTAATAAAATGTAGAATTTGTAACTGCTTTGTGCATTGGAAACGATTAGTTCAGATGTGCACCGAAAAGGAAAGCTGATCAAATTACTTTCGGTAATACTTTGAGACGTGATTCTTATAAAAAGTTTCGCTAAACGTTCTTCCCGCTTCATAAGTTGCACTCAAATACCGTTTAGAACAAATGCGAAAAAAAATCGTTTATTAGTAATTAGCGTGGTAATCATTTTTGTAGCACTTTTAATAGAACGAACTTGAAATTTGTTAGGGGAGATTGTAACTCGCGTAACTTGGACAAACGCTTTTTCCAGATACCTTTTCTCCATTACAAGCCCTTTTTTCCGCGACATAAAGTCCTGTTTTTGCATAAACGTGGCATCGTTTAGCCTCGTTCCGCGGTGCCCTTGGTGCACGCGTAATTATGGTGCGACATAAATTCCGGCCACTTTATTGAACGCGTCGCCCGGCTAACGAAGTTACAGCCGCTGGTTTTATTAAAAATTAAAGCCCGGATTTTTAGAAATTTAGACCGAAGTCGCTTAAAAGCCCCTTGTTGTTAGTTCCGTTTTACATTTAAACGCGCCACGTAAATTATTTTCTCTGACAACAAAGGATGCGTTTCTACCTCAAAGAATAGATCCGTTTGTTCTGGAAAGAAATAATATCAGTCCTTTGCTTAACGTTGTATTAAAGCAGCTTTGAAATAAAATAGGATTCAGGAATTTTTCTGTCGTATATATTCGATTGTCTTGAAACGAATTGCGGGTTTGTCAGTTGTTATAATTAGAACGTTTGTACACAAGACATTTATGTTTACGATTAATTATGTTTATCGTGCGATTATTTGAAAGTATAAGTATTATCGTGCATTATTAGAATTATTAAGCAAATTCGTTCTAGGCGAAAAACCCTTTTTATATGCATCATGTGCCAAAATCGCGATTTATTTCCGGACAATACGATAATTCAGTGATCGTTTCTAACGATAATTGTCAAATCGAAGCTGCTAAAAATCGTACAACTTCGAAGTAGTTTGGTTAAGGAAAATGAAATTGTAAAGTTACAATCGATCAAAGCGATTACTTCTTTAACATGAACGCCACCGCCATTATTGCCACTATTTATTTACGCTGTTAACCCTTTTAATGTCGACCATAAAATTTGTGTGCACCCGAGCGGAAGATACCGCGAACCTGTTTGACGAAGTTTGTTGAAGTTTCGGAATGAAATCATCGAAATGTAAAACCTCGTAAAATTCAAAACTCGGCATAAATTACGAAATAAAACTGTTATTTATTAAGAACATCAAGAGATCAACGTTTTTCCAAGCGTGGCCAACAACGATGTATCGTTGTTCGGCACTAAACGGGTTAAAACGTTCTATTAAATATTTCTGAAATGTTTCTTCCTTTACGGGACGTTGAAACAATTTAGCGAAGCAAAGTCGTAGACTCCTTGAATATTATGTTACGTGCTGTAACTTCAAACAGTGACCTGCATAAAATGAATTTGTCCGCGTACAGTGACGTCGCGTTTCTGCAACGTCACACTGCACATAATCTACAATGATGACGACGACGACGACGACGACAGTGACTGCGTAATCCTCCTTACACGTTAAACTGTAAACTCGAATAAAGTTTCACGTGCTCGCGTATTTCGCGACACGAAGTTTCCGAACCTTATTAACCCTAGAAAGATAACCATATGACAACGTACGTAAAAGATAACCATACGCTTCAGAGGCGCATGCTTTTCTAAGGCGTCAATTTTATACTAACAATGGATATTTATTTAAGTTAATCTAGTCATTTTAAAGGTTTGGCATTATCGTAAAAATAAAATGCATTTATATTATATTTTTTTATATTTTAAGTAATTTTAAACTTAAATCACTAGACCTCTATAAAAAATTAACAAAAATCAACAGTCTTCGCAGGCGCCTCTGCGACGTAGGTTATCTTTCTCGGGTTAAAGAATA